AAAAAAAAAAAAAAAAAAAAAAAAAAAAAAAAAAAATAAAAAAAAAAAAAAAAAAAACATAATTTATATGATTTATTAAGAGAAAGTTTATTTTATGCAACAATTTTACATATTAAAATAATTTCACATAGTTTAATTTTTTCAACTTCTACTTCAAATTTTTATTATTGTTAAGTATATAATATGTACATATATATTTTTTTTTTAAATATAATGTATAGATAGAAAATAATTATATAAAAATAAGAGACCTTTCATTCTGTTTTTTTTTTTTTTTTTTTTTTTTTACTAATATTCCCATATATAGATAAAAATATAGTGGAAAATTATATTTTATTTTTTTAAATGTTTATTTTTTGTTTTGATTGTATAATAATAGTATTTTATAGATTATTTAATTTTTTATCAAGATAATATTTAATCATAATTTCACATAATTTTTATTTATCATTAATTTTTTTTTATATTTTATCAACATGCATTAATGTATACATAGAAATATATATTTTTATTTATTATATACATATATATATTTATATATTTATATATATATATTTATATATATAAATATATATTTATATATATATATATACATATATATATATATATATATTTTTTTTTTTTTTACAATGTTTAATAAATATTCTTAAAGTATAATTAATTTTCTTATTTTATTTATTTTTTTTTTTTCCTTCAATGTATAATATTTATTTTAAATTATATTTTATTGCTATTTTTTAAATTGAACAATTTATGTTTTGTTAAATTGTTACTTTCTTAATTACATGTTCATAGATTTATTCTGATTTTTTTTTTTTTTTTTTTTTTATTCTCCTTTCTCTTTTTTTTATAATTATTTGATATTATTAAAAAAACACTAATTTAGTTTTTACAAATTCATTTAATTTTAATAAAAATAATTTTCTATAATTTTTTTTTAATTAATATATTTTTTAATATATATATATATATATGTATATAAAAAAAAAGAAAAAAATTTATTTCATACAAATAACTATTAAATCTTGATATAAAAAATTTTTTGTAAATTATAATTTTTCTAAATGAATATAAAAAGTTAGAAAATGAATGAAGAATATAAAAATATTATATTAAAATATAAGAAAATCCAAAATGACGAAATAAGAAGTCGTAATATGGAAAGCGAAGATGTAAATGTAGATATTTACAAAAATATAGATAATTTTATCAATAGAAAAGAAATAAATAAAGAAGAAAATATTTATGAAGACGAATTAAAAGGGTTAGAAATAAATAAAAATGATAATATATATGAAAAAGATTTTTTGAATGATATAAATTATTTAAATGATGAAAATGATGTAAAAAAATATTTCCTTCAGAAAAATATAAAAAAAAAAATTAAAAAAATTGATTTATTAAATCTATATGTAAACAATTCTGAAAATATAAAAAATGAATTAAGAAAAACATCTATTTGTAAATATTGGTTAAAAGGAATTTGTGCAAATATTGAATGTAATTTTGCTCATGGAGAACATGAATTAAAATCTACTTATGGTGTTTATAAGACAACTATATGTAAACACTGGAAAAAAAATGGGAATTGTTCAAGTGGAATTAATTGTAGACATGCTCATGGAGAAAATGAATTGCAACCTAAAAATTTGCCTCTACATTTACTAAAAAAAAAAAATAACTTAAAAAATAAAAATAATATGAAAAATATAAACTTAAATAAACTTAGTTCTATTAGCAATTCGTGCAACATTAATTATATGAATGATACAAATAAGATAAATAATAATAATAATTCTAATAATGTAAATAATGTAAATAATGTAAATAATGTTAATAATTTGAATAACATCAGTAATTTAAATTATACAAAAAATACACAAACTATTAATAGTTTAAGTAATGGAGATAATATAAAATGTACTGATAATTTTAATAACAATTTATTAATAAGTTTAAATAAAAACAACGAAAATATTAATAGTTTAAACAATTCTAAAAAAATATGGAATTATAAAATTTTTAAAGAACAATCTAATAATAGTGAAACTGAAAATAAATTACCAAAATCATTTTTAAATAATTCCACCGAAAATATTAATTATTTATTAAATACAATTCAGAATATTCATAACAAAGAAAACAAAGATGATAATTGTAATAATAATTATAATTTAATGAATGATAATATGAAAATTGAATTTTGTAATATGAGCAATGATGAGAAACAAAAGATAGAAGATATAAATAGTAAATTAATAAATAAAAATTTTTTAAATAATATAACTAATATTAATAATAGCAACATAAATAATGAATCGGGATGTTTTGGAAATATGCTATATTTAAAATTAAATAATAATGTTGATAATTTAATGAAAAATAATGACAATTTAAATAATATTACAAATTACAAATATAATCTTGAAAATAGAAAAAATAATTTTGAAAATAATATAAGTGATATTGAAATTACCAAAAATATATTTGACGATAATAATAATAATTATACAGAGGATAATAATGATAATTCTCACATTTTAAATAATTTTAATAATATTGATATTAATAATAATAATAATAATAGTAATATATTAAATAATAATAAAAATAATTGCAATAAGCATTTTATTAGTTATAATGATTTTTCTAATTATAATAAAAGTGATTTGAATAATAATTTTGAAAATACTAATAATATAATGAAAAAAGTTTCTTACAATATGAAATATTTTTCTTTTTATATAAATACATTAAATAAAATAGCTGATAGTTTGAATTACGTAAATAATATAGAAAATATTAACATTCCCAGTAATAGTAATATGAACAATAAAAATATATTAAAAGAAATTATAAATGATGATAAAGATAATAATAAAATAAATATTATAAAAGAAAATTATACAAATTCTAATTTAGTTATTAACAATAATGATGACAATTACCATATTTCTAAAAACGATGATGAAAATGTAGAAGAAAATATGAAAGATAAGCAATTAGTATTAAACGATTTAAAATTAAACAATACTGATATAACTTTAATGAAAAGTGCATATAATACTATGAATACATATGATAATAATATGAACAACGATTTAAATAATAATAATAATGACATTAATGTGAGTAAAAATAATAATAATAATGACATTAATGTGAGTAAAAATAATATGAATAGTGATAATAATGATAATAATAATAATAATAATAATTATAGTAATAGTAATAATAATAATAATTATAGTAATAGTAATAATGTTGTAAGTTGTAGAAATACTGCAATTAATAATGACGTAATAGATAATAGTGACATTATAAATAATAGTGATTCAATAGATAAAAATAATATAAGTAACAATAAAATAAAAAATATTAATTCATATATAAATTATAATTTAAAATCAAATGAAGATAAAAATGAAAATTTCAATAATGAAACTAAAATAACAAACATAGATAGTTTAAATGATAAAATATATAATAGTTTAAAAAATTTACAAATGAATAGTTCTAAGAATAATAATAATAATGATGATAAAAATTATGAATATAATAATTTGCTTAATAAATTTAATAATTCTGATAAAAATACAAGTAATTTTTGTAAAAAATTTCTAATTTCTCAAAATATAAAGAACAATAATAATGATGCACATAATAATTATGATAATAACATAGATTGCAAGAAAGAAGATCATTTAAGTTATAATAATAATATAAATAATTTTAGAAATAATTTTGACTTAATAAATTGTGGAATAAATTATTATATGAATGATAATAATATGAAATTAATAAACAATCTAGAAAATAGTTGTCTTTTAAACTATACTGAAGATAATAAAACTTTTATAAATGATATTGATAATAACAATAATAAAAACATTTTTGTAAATAACAAAATAGAAAATGATAAGTTATATGAAAAAAAAATGGATTTAATTAAAAGTAAGAAAATAATTAATTTAAATAATATAAGCAAAGATAATAATTATTCCTATAATGAAATGTATTCAGAAAATATTTTAAAAGATGAAAATGCAAATAAATTTGATAATAAAGATAAAGAGTATAATTATTTAAATAAAAATATAGAAAATAATGATATAATTAATATGAATAACAATAATATGAATAATAATTTGCAAAACATAAATGATGATTATTATAATTTAAATGAGATCATGTGTAAAATAAGGTTATTATATGCCATGAACAACCTTGATAAGGATAAAAATGAAGATAATAATACAAAAAATAAAGATAATGAAAATTCAAATATAAATAATAATAATGTAAATAACATGAATGAGTTAGTAAATAATGAAAATTATATAAGCAACATAAAGAAAATATTAAGTGATAAAGAAAATTTTTTGAAAAATTTCAATTCAAATTATGAAGATTGCCTTAATTTAAAAAATAATAAAGAATCACATCTACCAAACAATGTACAAAATAAAAAAACGTTAGAAAATGAAGACATAATTAACAATACGAATACATTCATGACGGATAAAAACAGTATGGAGAAAAATAAAGAAATAAATAGTATGAAAAAGAAAACAAATGAAGAACCACTTAAAAAAAGTCAAATGAATAATAATATTGTCTATTTAAGTAATGATTCATTTTATGAAAAAGATAATAGTAATTATAATTTTATATTGAGTGATAATTTGCATTTAGGAAATAATAAGGGAGAGAGCATTTTACATAATAATGATAATAAAATGAAAATAAAAAATAATGATTTTAATACTTTGTTTAAAGATAATAAAGAAAGTAACATTTATGATGAAAATTTTCTTATATATGATAAACAGATAAATAAAAAAAACTCATATAACATAAATAGTAATAGAAATGATGATTCAATTAATGAAAAAGAAGACAATAACGATAATAATAAGGAATATAATATGAAAAGAAATAATCATAACGATATTGCCATTAATAATGAAAATAACAATGGTAATAAAAATGTTAGCAACATGGAATATTATTATAATAATAACAATAATGATTTAGCAACTCGTTTTAATAATTATAAAAATGAAGATTATATAAATTATGATAAAAATAAAGATTCAGATTCTTTTATTAATGTAAGAAATGATGTGAATAACAAAAAGAATAACTTTCATTTTGATGAATTAATTAATAATGAAATTTCAAACGATTTCATTTATTCTTTAATTAAAAATTCGGAAAATAAACATTTGGAAAATAAATGTTTTATGAATGATGGAAAAAATGAGGTTTCTAATAAAAACTTAAATGTAGACAAAAATATTGCAAGTAACGAAGGAAATGAAGTTTATAATATGAATGAAAAAAATAATGAACAAAAAGAAATTATGAAATCATCAACAAAATTAGTTAGTTTGAATAATATACAAAATAAAAATGAAAACATGGAAAAGGAAAAAAAAAAATACATGTTTGACTTTTTAAATTTCTTAGAAGAAACAAAACATAAGAATGAATATAATAATAATAATAATAATAAGGAAAATAATAATTTTAATAAATTAGTTAATAATAACTCAACAAAGCTAGTTAGACTTCATGCATTTAAAGAAACATATAATAAATGTACTAACAATGATAAGGAAGATGAAAACAACATAAATAATATACTACAAGAAAAATCTAAATTTCTAAAAATTAATAAATTAGAAAAAAAAAGTTATCCGTTTGGAGAAAATAATTTTAAAAATGATAATAATAATAATAATAATATTTATAATTCAAAGGAATATATTAATAAAAATCTTTTTTTCTCTTCTAATGGGAATGAATAAATAGTTATAATTAATTAAATTGTTACTTTAATTTTTTTTTTTTTTAATATAAAAATATAGACAACTTTAATAATGTCATAAATTCTATAATAAAAATGATATAATGTATTATGCATAATAAATTTTTTTAAAACAATTCATTAATTACCTAATCAATGTGCTATATTATTTAAGTTTAAATTTTCTCAAAATTAAAATTAATTATTATACAAGATATTTATATAAAATTAATCATTGTTAAAATAAAATTATGAAAACAAATAAAATCATTATATGATTGTATTATATATTACATTAGAATAAGCATAAAAAAAAAAAATATGTTAAAAGTTGATAAAAAAAAAATTTAAAAAAAAAATTTTGTCAATTATAAAATATTTAATTCATTTATATGTTTTTTTTTTTTTTTTTTTTCCTTAGTTACATTAAATTTGAAATAATGATAAAATATCATTTAAAAAATTTTTAAAATGTGATATTTTTTAAGTTCACAAAATTATAAATATAACAAAATGATAAAAAAAAAAAAGAAAAAAACATTAAATTTAGATGTTTTTAAAGAATTTTTATGTGTTATAAATTTTTATCATTTTCCATTTATGTATATTTATAATAATGCATTTATAAACATTAATATTCCTCATTAATTTATAAATTTTTTTTTTTTTTTTTTTTTTTTTATAAATTAAATAATTTTTAAAACTATTTTTTTTTTTTATGGTTATAGAAAAACATAATATTATTAAAAGATATAAAAAAAAAAAAAATAAATATGTAATTATTGAAAAAAATATTAAATAATTATCCTTTTTGTTTGATTGAAATAAAAAAATATATATATTAGAAAAAGTCTATATATTTTTTTTTTTTTTTTTTTTTTTTTTTTTTTGGTGTAATGTTTTAATTCATATATAGATGTATAAGATATATTTAATTTATTTCTATTTATTTTTTATATTTTTTACATTTTTTTTAAAATATATTTTTATAGTGTAAATTGAAGTAAAATACTACAAGAACATATATAATTTATATATTCCTTATTTTTATGAATATTAAAAAAAATATAGAGGATTGAGTTTAAAATAATATACTTGAAAAGGAAATTAAAAATATTTTGTGTAAACTATTTTCCATAATTATAAAAGTATAGAAAAAAAAAAAAAAATAAAATAAAATAATAAAATATAAAACAAAATTATACATATATATATATATATATATATTTATATATATGTAATGTAGGAAAAATGAAATTAAGATTTATTTAACATCTGTTTTAATTTTTGTAATATATATTGTTTTAAGTTTGGTTGTGTAAAATAGTCAGCAGTATATTCATATATATTATCTGGTTTTTCTTTTAATATATCGGATAGAAATATTTGAATTATGTATTTCAAAACTTTATTTTTTTTTAAATACATTTCATTTTGTAATATTTTGTTTATTTTTAAATTTTTTGCTTCTTCCTTTTGTTCTTCTGATAAATTAAATAAAAAAATTTTTTTCTTTTCAAACTTTTCTCTATCAAAATCTTTCTTAAAGACAATATTCTCAGGTTTATCTGAAATTTTTTTTTTTTTTAGTGTAAATATAAATAAAAGATAATTTATTTTATTTATAATTTTAAATTAAAAAATTCTTATTATGAATATATATAATATAATTTTATATATGTTAATTTAATTAGTATTTTACAAATATTATTTTATTTAATTAAGAAGTTTTCATTTTATACTAGTCTTATTTGTTGATACTACTGAAACAATTTTTATACTGTTCAATTTTTAACCATAAACGGAATCATTAAGATTATTGGTTAAAAAATAATCGTTTTCTCCTATCTTTTCAAAATTAAAAGAGGAAAAGGTATTTTCATTTAAGGAAGGAAGAATATTAATATTTTTATCTGTATCATTTTTTAATATATTTTTTGAGGTATCTTCATAAAAATTTCTAGAATTATTTTCTAATGAATTTAATCTTTGCATTTGTGATATATTAGTATGATATAATTTTTTTTTTTTTTTTTTACACTATTAAGAAAATATAGTTTATTTTTTAAAAAAAAAAAAATGTATAATAAACTATTTTTAAATATATTAGATATTATAATTTTTTTTTTTTTTTTTTTATAGTTCTATTAGTTATTAAAAAATTGTGATAATTTATTAAAATATAAAAAAAAAATATATATAAATAAATATATTTATAAATAGATAATTTTATATATAGGAATGCTATATGTAAAACAAATAGTATATAAAAAAAAAAAAAAAAATGAACTTTTATTATTTTTATATTAAAAATATTTTAATATTTATTTCTATATTAGTGTGTAAATATTTCATATATGTTTTTTTCTTTTTTTTTTCTTTTTTTTTTTTTTTTAAATACAAATGTATAAAAAAAAAAAAAAAATTCAATTAAATTTCATTTTATAAATATGGAAAATTATAAATATTATTATAAATGTAAGTTATTTAATATATACAAATTAAAAATAATTTACATTTTAATTATTAAAAATTATATAGACATAGTTATTATCACAATTATTATTGCATTATATTTTTAATATTTTATATAAAAATTTTCATAACAAAATTTTAAAGTTAATATAAAACTTTAAGATACAATTAATTAAATATTTTAAAAAAATGATTTTAAAGGAAAAAAAAAGGAAACAAATATAAAGTGTACCTATAAAAAGAATAAAAGGTACATTTTTGAAACAAAAACAAAATTTTATATAAAAATAACATGATTTATAATATAAAAAAAAGTCATTTATTAAAAAAAAAAAAAAAAATAAATAATAAGAAGACAACTTATATTTAAGGATAATTAGAAATACAACAATTTTTATGACAAAAATTAAAAAATTTTTTTTTTTTTTTTTTGAATTTATTTTATTTTTTTTTGAAAATAATTATTGTACTTTAAATTATTTACTTGAGAAATATCATAATGATAAGTTGATAATGATTTGCAATTTTTAAAATAATGAAGAAATTTTTTTAGTAAACTTGCTATTATCCATTCATCTATTTTATCAAAAAATGCAATTAATAAATGAATATACATATAAGTATGTTGTAAAATAGATTGCAAAACATCTTCTGTTATTTTAAAAGTTTCACATATATAAGAAAAATTATTTTTTTCTAAATACATAAATAATAAAATAGATATATACAGTTTACAATATTTTCCTTGAAGCACATTATCATTAAAAAATAATCTTTTTTTATTATAAATATTTTGATTTTTTATGTTTAACATATTTATTATATCGCTATCAAATTTTAATATTTGAAAGATTATATTTCTTGTATAATTATCAGAAATCATTGATATCAAATTTTTTAAAAATGGCAAATTATAATTAAATGATGTAATGCTTAAATTATAAGAAGAACATAAATAACATAAATGAAAATTATTATATAAATATATTCTATCATAATTTTTTATTTCGTTTAGTAATTCTATACCATAAGATAATGTGAAATTACATATGCATAGGGATCTACAAAAATTAGTTATTTGAAATTTTTTATTTTTTATTTCTATACATTTATGTTTTAATAAGTTATTTATTACATGATGAATTTCATCTTTTTTTTTTTTATAAAAAAATATTTCTTCTTGTGTAAAATCTTCTATATTTAACTCGAATGACTCTCTATAATTTTCATCTCCATTTTTTTCTTCTGTTAAGGTAGAAATTAAGAAATCCTTTTCTTTTTCTTCTGTAATGCTATTTATAATTTCATTATAGTATAATGAAAATGATAACAAATGAATAATATCACTGAAAGATAATGTTTTATCATATAAACATATAAGTTCAATAATGTATTTTTCAAGATATTCTAAAGAATTATTCATAATACTTTTAATATTAGTAAAATCTTGTTTAAAAAGTTCTAACAGTTTTTTTTCATGTACTTTTTCAATTATTATAATTGAATCTCCTTTTTTCAACCGAGCAGCTCGACCAATCATTTGTTTATATTGGGTAATTGATAAAAAATTATCAGCAATAAAAGGGGAAGATATGATAACCCTATCAACTTGTAAATTTAATCCAACTGATAAAGTAGATGTGCATGTTAACAAAAATAATGTTTTTTCTTTAAAAGATGTTTCTAGTAACTTTTTAATATATGTGTTAATATCACTATGATAGTAACATATTCCATTACTTATTAATTTATTCATTTTATTATATGCATATTTATCAATATGAGATATTGTATCATTCAATTTACTTCTTTTTATATGAATATCTTCAGTAACTTGATAAGGATTAAAATTTAAAAATTGATTTAATACATTAATGTAAAATTCACAATTTTTTTTTGTAGAACAAAATATTAATGTGTTTAAATTATTAATCAAACTATGAATAGAAAAACATAACAATGAATGAATTAAACTATTATTTAAAATTTTGTTTTTGTTTATTAAAAAGGATGAAATTTTACTTTTATTAAGTTTATCAATGCAATTACTTTTGCTATTATGATCATTATGTAAGTTCGAAAAATCATAAATATTACAATAATATGAAAAATTTTCTTTTTCTTTTTTAAAAATATTGTAATTACATATATAGTATTCTTTTATTTCTTGAGGTCTATATGATGAAATATATACTTTTGCATTTATCCATCTTTTTAGAATAGGTATATTATTCAGTGTTCCACTCATACATATAATTTTTATGTTAGCTAGCTTTTTATTTATAAATAAAAATTTTGAAATAATATTTTCAATATAAATTCCCCTTGGTTTTTCATTTATTAAATGAAATTCATCAATTATTACAATATAATTATGATTATTATTTATTTTCTTTTTATTTATATAATTATTCATCTTTTCATATGTGCATATGATTATATTGTTTTCATCAATTTCACTACCTATTTTTATATTAGCATCTTTACATATTTTTTTAAAATAATCTATTTTTTCATTTATTAAAGAATTTAAAGGTAATAAAAAGAATATACATTCTGTTTTTTGAAGTTCTTCAAAAACAAAAATTTCAGCTACTAATGTTTTCCCTCCTGAAGTTGGTGCAACATATATGAAATTTTCTCCCTCTTTCCAACGTACTTTTTTTAAGTTATTTAAACATTCTTCTTGCCATTTATATAATTCATTTATGTTTTCTCTTCGATAATTTTCTAAAATTTTCTTATTTATATTATATTTATTTAAACCATAATTATTTTCATAATAATTATTAATAGTGTCATCATTTACTTCATTGAGTTTTTTTTTTTTTTTCATTAATTCAGTTTCATTTTTTTTGCAACATCTTTTTTTTTCAATTAAATTTTCAATATGTGTCATCCAATTAGTATTCATTATTATATATATATTTATATATATATATATATTTAAATAAATTTAAAATTTCATTTTCATAATTACATTTTACAAAAAAAAATATTTATTTATGTGAAGACAAATTTTCATAATAAAATAAAATACATAAAATAATTATTTATATTTTTTATGTTTTTTATATATTTTTTTTTTTTTTTTTTTTTTTTTTTTTTTTTTTTNATTTAAAATATAACAAAATTTTATAATTTTTATCCCACTTTTTTTTTTTTTTTTTTTTTTTTTTTTTGAATTATTTTCTTTTAAATTACAATTGAGTAAATACATTTTAAATAAAAAATGATATACTTTTTTATATTTATATAAGTTTGTAATACTTAAAAAAAATATACATGATTAAAACACAAATTTTAAATTATTTTTTAATAAGTGAATATATTTTTAAGAGAAATATATAATTATGTTAATTTTACTACACACTGATTTTTGAGAAAAAAAAAAAAAATACTTAACATTTTATTTCTAAAAAAAAAAAAATTATTATGATATCATGGACCAAAAGCATAATGAAAATTTGAACGATAAAGGTTACATATATATATATATATTTATATAAAAGAAATTTAAAATATAACAAAATTTTATAATTATTATCCCACTTTTTTTTTTTTTTTTTTTTTTTTTTTTTTGGTTTCCTACTTTTTGTTTTAATATTTTTAATTAAAAATATAAGATATAATTATTAAAAAATTATTTTTACAAAAATTATATTGTTTTTAATAAATATGTAAATTTTAAAAAAGGAAAGGAAAAAAACAAATGGATAGTTAATATTCAAATAAAAGATTCCTGTGTATAAAAAAAAATATGTATATCTATAACCATATTCATTTCTCTCTATATATATATATATATGATGAAACATTAATAATATAATAAATTACAATATACTTCTAAAATAGATATAAATTACTGTTTTTATTTTTATTTTTATTTTTATTTCTTTTTTTTTTTTTTTTTCTCTTTCCTTCTATATATTTATAAATGCTACAGAAATTCAAAGCTTTTTTAATGAAATAGATAATATATTTAATGAAGAAGATAATAATAATTTTGTAAAACTAGAAGAAGAATTAAATGAAAAATGTTTTCAATTAATTAAAAAGAAGGAAAATAGTCATAATTTATCTATTCAATCAAAATTAAATTTATTCATTGAAGAAATAGAATTTATCAATAATGTGTTAGATACTTATGAAAAGGAAAAAAAAAAAAATGAAAATAAAAATGAAAATCTTTTAAAAAAAGATGGATATAATGAATCTGAAGATATTTTAAATGATCTTATTTATTTAGAGTTGGGTTTAAGAGACTCTGATAATACAAATGAGGTAATTTAAAAAAAAAAAAAAAATTAAAATATTATAATTTATGTATATTTTATTTTTTTTTTTTTTTTGGTTTTTACATTATTACAAAGTAATTATTTATTTATTTTTTTTAATTTTTTTTAGACAAAAAAATTATTATTAAAAATTAGTGAAAATTTATATAAAATAAAAAGTAAAGAATTTATTTTAACAATGAAGAAATCATTAGATATAAGAATAGTATGTATATTGTAAAGAAAAATAAAATTATTATATATACATTTTTTCATATATTTAATTAATAATATTCCTTAATATATATATTAAATATTTTTACATATTATTAATATGTATGTACTTTTATTTTAATTTTTTAGAATGACTTTCGAAAGAATGAAATAAGTGAAGAGTATTTTTCAAAAAAAATTAATGAAATATATATAGACACAAAGGTAATAATAATCTATATATATTTTTTCTTATTTTAATATATAAACATGAAACAAAATAAATATATATACTTTGTATTTTCATATATTAGAATATATTAGTCTTCTTTTTTTTTTTTTTAGAATCAATTAGATTATGAAATAGATGAAAAAGAAAAAAAATCAAAAGAAAATATTATTGAAAATTCAAAGAATATTCTAATAGATTCAGATACAACAAACAATTTAGTAGACATGAATTTGGATGGTAATTTAATTCCATTGGTTCCAATGGATAAATGTGTTAATAAAATTGATAAAAGTGAAATTGATACAAAAAATGAAAATGATCAAATAAAAGAAGCAAAAATATCAAGTAATAAGAATTCTTTTTACATATTAAATATAAAAAATAAAAAAAAATAAATAAATAATTAAAATAAAAGTATACATTAATTTAAATATTTATTATATACATAATCAAAATGCAGATAAAATGATAAATATTAAAAAGAATAGGAAGGAACAAAAAATAGAATCATCTAACTTTTTTCATAAAAAAAAAGTAAAAATATATTTAGAATATTAAATAAAATTCCTAATTATAGATTAATATATTTCCTTTTTTTTATTTTATTTTTTTCATCCATTACATTTAACATTATTATAGTTTTATATTATGTTTTCATTTTTATGTAATTTTTTTTTTTTTTTAAACTAGTTAAAATTAGTAGAGAGATGGAATCGAGTAGCTGAAGAAACAAAATTATTAAATGATTATGATTCTAGTTATTAAATAATTTATTAAGAAAATTCCAAATAAATATTTATTTGTATATATATTTTATAATATACAACAGATACATGATAACATGTGTTTACATATTTTCTTTTAGTTAATTATAAGTTAATTCTTCTATATATCTATTCATTTTTGAAATAATTTATATATTATCTATAAAAAAATAAATTATAAATATTATTAAATATTCCTTTATTTTATTTTAAAAAATATTACAGGTTTTTTTTTCTTGTCCCTATAAAAAAAGTGAAAAAAAAAAAAAAAAATTTTAAACTTGAAATTTGTGTATTATTTATATATATCTTTTTTTTTTTTTTTTTTTTTTTTTTTTTTTTTTTTTTTTTTTTTTTTTTTCATTTTTCATTTTTCATTTTTTTTTATTTTCTCTTTCTATTTTATATTATTTATTTTTATTTTATTTTTTTTTTTTTGCTTATTTTTAAATGTTTTAATACTTTATGTAATTTTATAAGTATGAAATAAATTTCCATCTTATTTTATATATTTTATATAAATTTTTTTTTTTTTTATTATTTATTATAATTGATAATTTAAAATGTTTTCCAATAAATATAATAATATTTTAGTTCTTTTTAATAATTTTAGAAAAATTAAAATTTTTTAATATATTTTTGTTTTTAACTTTTTTTTTTTTTTTTAACAAATTTTTCTTTCTCTTTTTTGTATTATCCGTTGCAAAAAAAAAAAAAAAAAAAAAAAAAAAAAAAAAATTTTTAAAAAT